TTTTTAATTATACATCTAACACTCAAAACTCCTACTTGTTTATCTGCTTCATCAGGACTGTTTAGGTGTGGTTGGGTCAGATTTGATTGACAGTGCTGGCAACATAAGCAAACCACAGGAATAGTGAGGGCTAATCCACAAATACAGAAATCTCATGTGAAGTTGAGAAAACTGGTCAAATTTGTCAGGAAGTTTTGTGCTCATGTTGGACCCCACGGCTCATAGTAAGACACTGACTGAGAAAATAAGGTTTCAGGGCCTTTAATGCAAAACTATTGCATAGCATTAAACAAAAATAAATTGTACAGGTGTACCTAATACACCTCTGCACTCCATACAATATCGTACAAAATGTTATTTAATGGTGAGGCAAATTATAACACATTGATTTAAAGTGAGCCACAAAAGTAAAATTGATATGCTTTGAGTGTTGTGTCGTTCTGCTTTCAACGCCGCAACCCTAAAGCACTTGCGGGACACAATGTTTCCTGCAGCTCTCAGAGGGAACACCTGCCGAGAAATCCCATCATGAGGCCATTTTGGCATTCATGAGCATGATTGATGACATAGAGATGGAAGCAGCGTTGGAGAAATCCCCTCTTCCACGGGAAAAATGATGATTGTTTGGGTTCCTCCTCCCTGTTGTGCCCCCCTCTGCTTCTCAGTGGGAGACATTCACATGACATCTTCTAGCAGAGTGCAGCCCTCAAATACTGGTGCTACCATATCTAAACTCAAACAATAACTGCCAATCCCCAAAAAAAATCCAAATATCTGCAATTTTATCACAAATATTTTGATATTTGGAGAATGAAATGTAAAAGCGTAAAACACACCACAAAAACCCATCAAAAGTTCTGCTTCCTCTCTGGACTTCACTCCCAGATCAATCTCCGCATGTGTGAGTGACATAGAAGGTCACAATAATCTGACGATACATCACAGCAACACTGGCGTATGCTGCCGGGGCGAACAAAGTCACCTGGCTATTCTCTTTGAAAGCACTCCCATTTAGCCCTTTTTATTCCTCGCCGTCTCATTACGTGCCGATAGAGAACATGTGCACATTACACGCTTCAGCAGTGATCATTTGCCTTGTTGTGCCGGCAGTCAAGTATCACACAAAATATCAGCGCCGTTATTTCTGACCCATCTCCATCTCCAGTAAACAGAGCTGGCCGTCAGATGATAGCATAGACATGCTAAGAAGTTCCATTGAATCCAGCAGTCTGCTGTGTGACCACTTTGCATATCTTCCCATCTTGTCTCAGACGTTGGGTAACCCACTGAGGGAAACTGAGACAGCAGGGGAAGACTCGGTGCAGGTCTGGTCTTAAACCAGAGCAATGACAAAGTGGATTTAAGAGGCTGATATTTAACGAATTGGTAAACAGTTGAATTCAAGCTATTGGTAATCTTGAGAAACTAGCAAGAGTAAGTAAGATTTAAATATCCTCCAACCAAAAAAAACAGCCCAGTGTCTGTTAAAGTGACAGTAGCCAGCAACACTAGCTCCAAAAGTCGCTAACGGTAAGCGAGAAAGTCACCAAGTTGGCAACACTGACAGGTCGTTCCTTCACGCCTCCCTCCAAAGCCACTACCCCAAAATTATCATCATGAACATAAACACATCACAATGAATGTAAACAACAAACATAGCTATTGTTAGTACTCACAGCTGAGTACTTCCACAGCTTGTGGAAGGCTTCTGTGACGCACAATGAGTGCATCAGGCTAGATTAAATGATTGGATGGGCTTATTACAGTACTTTTTTGTCAGTGTATTTAATTTATTGATTGCTGTCAGGATGTAATGAGAATGTCAACAAATAGAACAACAACAAAAATATATTTGAAGAAGATTCCCAATCCTAGATTGAAATAGATTGAAATTAAATCTGCTCTGGAGAGGGAGATGCTCCGGGAAGTTTTAGAACACTTAAAAGACTATTAGAGCGATCCACAAGTTCATGCTCCCGAGGTTTAAAATGCCTTCATCGTGTAGCTGTTGACAGCCTCCAGTCTGGCCTAGTCAGCTGGCAGAAGTATCGCCTTAGTCCTGTGGAATTACTGTACCAACTGAGCCTTTAGGCTTTGGATCAAAACAACATTTCTGTCAATAACACCAACTCCACTGCTGTCCTTCCACCTGACCTGGTTGCTTCTGTTTGACCAAATCATTTTGAGCAGTCTAAGTGATGCTGAGCGCAATATTCCTACAATAATACCCTGCCATCATTTATATTTATATAATATTTATTTATTTTTTCTTATTTGCAATGGCTGTCATGAGCGCTTTAGGATTGGCCAAAAATCATGCATTATGATCATAAAGAGAAGGGCAACAACTCATTTGAATGAAAGTAGAAGCCATTAACATAGTGTGATTAAAAATGTAAAAGTAGTCTAATCGGGTTAACTTTTAACAGGTTAAAAGTGGTTCAAAAATGAAATTTCTTTCACAGACTATTTATAGACGTTGAATAAACGATCATGTTTTGACCATATGCAAAACTGGCTTTCAACTGAGGTGGATGTGGTTTCTTAGTTTACCTCTAAAATGACGATATACTACTATTCGCACAATGTAGAGGATGAAAGAATTCACAAGTGCAAATCCCAGTGAAATATAGTCTAAATGTAAATGTTCAATCAACATCTTCAAATAGTCGGTGAAAAAACTTTTCAACGTCTTTTCAACGGAAAAATGCTCACTGGGCAAATTGTTCCCGAAGGCTGCCTGCCTACTTTTGCCTGCGGTGTGTAAATAACAAATTTCCCCCTGGGGATGAATAAAGTATATATCTATCTATCTAAATGGGTGTTAATAGGTGAATGACATGTGGTGTTAAAGTGCTTTGAGTGGTCGGAAGACTAGAAAGGCGCTATACAAGTACAAGTCCATTTCCAGATTTGTTTTTGCCTAATTATCAGTGAATGAATAGAGTTTAATGGCAGCTGTAAGGCTGACAGAAAAATAAGCTATATGGGAAGCTTTAAGAGCTGCTCTACACCTAACCCGACTGGAATATTAACTCCCGAGTACCGCCTGCCACATGGATGCTCTTAACCCCTTCAGTGCCACCTAAAGAGCTAACATTACAAACATGAAAAAAAACAATAAAGGCTATGTGTGCAGTATGTCGTAATCTGTCATTAAAACACCAAAACACAAACATGTTTACCACAGTGGAGTATACTTTAACTCCAAAATGTCTAACTATACAGTAGTCCTACTTCAATTGTCTTTAAATAAGTACTGTGTACTAAAGTACATACTTAAATGACAATTCATAGCAGCTGATTTATCCCAAAAAAGGGAGCAATTATTGTATTCTCACTAGACTCAATAGAAATATAAATTACATTTAAAATCATCTCAACAATATATTAATCTCCAGAGTTTAAACAGCAAAGATATATTCCTGCTTCTGATACTTTTTCATCAGAAGATGTAATGCTTCAAAATTAACTTTCAAATAGGAGGTATTTCCACTTCTACTTTGGCTTAGCTTGATTATTGTTTGCATGAGTGACAGGCAATAAGTCGCAAGCCTGAAGGGCATGCCAATCACTGTGAGAATTTGCTGAGGAGTTGATAATGCGTTGTCTCTCTGGCAGACACAGAAGGTTATGACTCATTCAAAGACCAAATCAAAAGACGTTTACTCAGGGCGACAACGCTCACAGATGAGAGAGATTGCATTTTTCACTCATTTGGCAGATTAGTTGTGATGTCAGAGACATGGATCCAGAGGATTTAATCAGTTAGGTATTCAACCCATCTCTGAACAGGTGTGCCTCTTATCAAATATGCAGCCTTTTGCTTGTGCCAGATACCCTGTTTTATAGAGAGAATGATTGGCCCTGAAGCACAACAATGACGACCTGGAGAGACAACTCAGATGGGATAATGGGGGAAAAAAAGACCTTTCATTCCTAATTACTTTTCTACAGATGTAGACATAACAACATGCTGAATATACTGCTTTCACTGAATCACTGAATACTATTTAAGAATGCATTCACTGATATAGAAAATACTACCCAGTAAAACACTGTTTTCGAATTTACACGAGTAATTCATTAAAATTATGAACTGATAAAACAGAGTATATTTATATCCACTTACACAAAAATACTTGTTTAGAATGTATTAATGTTACTGGTTTCCAAGTCCTGACAGCCATTACACATTGTTGAACCTGTATATTTTACATGTACTATCTCTGTCCATTTAATGAATGACATTCATTATGTAAGGTACTCAAATGTCCACTCCGAAGGGTAGTGGTGGCTGACATGCCCAGTTGACTCATCTTTATGGACTGCTACTGAAGCACTACAAGAGCCAGCAGGTCCACCTCACCTCATCACTTCATTTTCACAGGACAGGAGCTACAGTCTGCACAGTTGGTCATTCATTATCTCTGCTTGGTTAGCACAGTCACATATACCTCTACTGGACACAGATCTTATACCCACCACAGCTGCCTGGGGGGACTCTTTACACAATGAGTATTGATGCTGACTGATATCGCAGCATGAATACATAATCAGTGAACCAGCTCACATTAACAGAAAGCTGGGTACTGGCGGTGTCACTTCAATGATGCAAGCTGGGTGCAGGGGGGTGCAGGAGGCTGCGCCAGCTGTTAACCGTCCAGTCAGGTCAATTAGGACTATTTTGGTAATTGAGTAGCCTATAATAAGTTTAGGACTAAAACTTTGGTCAGTTAAGACTCGCAGGAACTTGGCGAGTGACAGGTGGTTGAGACAGGCTACCCCTGTAGCACTCAACCAAAGACCTGCTACTGAATGACTTTGAATCATAAATGAGTTGCTATGGGACATTAGGGGAATTAGAACTTCCCCATCAGGAGCTTAATATTAAATACAGCCACGTTTATTCCACAAAAGCCCGTGTTTATCCCATAGGCAATTTGTAAAGCTCTATTTGGCAGGTCGTGAGCCTAATCGACGGGTAAGTCCAGCCTTACCTGGGATCTCCTGGATGGGAACATGTGTGAAGCTGAAGCCTTTCCCGACACAAGCCTCCCTCACCTCGCTGCAGTTTCGTGCCTTGAAATCTGCTCGTGCTGCAACAGACAGCACAGAAAAAGTGCAAATGATGGTCTCTAGTCTGAGCATTTTTCACTTCTGTGAAGATCCGGATTGTTTAAGGTGCTCTGCAGTATCCTTGCTGGTTTAATTAATAAAAAAAAAAAAAAAAAAAAAAAAAACCTCCCCTGCAGTCGATCTGCAGGTACTTAATTACTGGGCGTTTAATGGTTGCAACTCAACTATTAGTGTCTACCAACGCATTTCCCAAAGTAAAACGGGTTTCTTTCGCAAACCGATAAAGAAAAAAGTCCCCCGCCGCCGCAAGAGAAGAGAATTGCGAGCGTGGAGGTGCCACATGAATCCAGTATCCAGGCAATGCGTTTCCAGACGTGTTGTCTCAACTTCGCTGAGCAGACGAAGCCCCTGGTTGTTGCGTTGAAGTGGGAAATGCTGTGTGCTGGGGAGCGCTCTGTGTATCACATCAGATGCATTGGAGAGGCAAAGCGCGACACAAAATATGGAGTGGACTCCAGCCTCATTCATTTTAGCTGGGACTGCATGTCGGCACCTACATACAGAGATGTATTAGAAATAAATAGATAAGAAAAGCATGGATGTAGGATGATAATAATCAGTTCGGGTCGGTTTTGAGAGACGGGTAGAGACGGGATGTATACTGTGTAGCTACAGCCTTACATGGACTTATGAATAGAATAGGAAAGCTGTAAAACTGTAGGCTTTTTTTGGGAATGTTAGTGAATACTCGTATAACTACTCGACACTATTGTAAATCCTTATTGGTGCATTTTATTTTGAAAAATATTTTTAAACATATTTAATTTTTTTGCAGTGAAAAATGTGATTTCCTAATCTTTTTCATTTTCTGTTTCTAAGTCAAATTTGAAACACTTGAACATAATTTATTTGGCCAATTTGATGGGGATTACACAGACCTGTACATGCTGACAGTTTCTCCTTTTTCACATTCATCTGAAACACCATGTTACTGGGTATTAAACTGTATCAACCAGAGGATGTAAAAGATGTGATGAAGACCAGAAGGCAAGCCTTCATTGATTCATTGATTTTGGAAAAGCTTGATCCCAGGGTAGATCAACAGTGGATTAACATGGCGGCCATTGCTGTGCACAGCAGTGTTCCTATTGGTAAGCCACATTTTGAAAGGTGCTTTAAAGTAGTGACACCAAAGATATCCATATCCACTGCTTTTATGAGGTTGTTTTTTTCATATTTATTGAAAAATGTTTTAATATATGTCCATGTTGATTCAATATATTAATTGACCACAGGACCCGTTTTCTATCTTCTCCTGAGCTAAAAAAAAAAACACTGTTGACATTGTAAACTTTGGTAGAAGATCAAATTCAGACACCTTCGACAGTCATACAGAAAACCAGAGTTTGAGTCAGAAAACACATAATTCTTCTCTCTAGATGATTGGAGTGTGTGTTGTCGTGTGCATGGTATCATTGCAAATACAACAAAATAGAGTCGTTGAATACTATTATTGATATAATCGAAGGTACACATATAGTCTAATATGCTGACAGTGGTTAGTCTAACCATTCATACAGCTTCCTTCGAGAATTATGTGATTTTCTTTTAGTGAGACTTTTCTGACCTGGACATGTGACAGATAATTAACGTATCCAACTTTGAAAATCAAGGGACAGTTTCATCCAAATTAACATTTTTAATACAATGAAAATTAGCTGTCCAGTCACTCTACTAGACTTAAAAGTGCCGCAGGAAGGATTTCTCTATGTATGTGTGTGTGTGATGCACATGGTCTGCCTTCAATGCTGAGCTCACCATTTGTAATACAATCTATGCATATTCTATTTTCACATATATTGCGTTGCCAAAACATGTTTTTACTCCAGCTCTTTTGGGATACACCCAGACCAGCCCGAGAGATGTAGTCCCTCCTGTTTGTTCTGAGTTTATCTTGGGGTCTCGTTCCAGCTGGTCATACCCAGCACTCCTCCAAAGCATGGTGTGAAAAAAAAGAAAGTCAGTAACACACTCAGTTGAAAGGCAGAAAACTCAGGATGCACTAGAAAGGGAGTGTTGTTATCTCGACAAAACCACAAACAATTCTTGGCCAACAGTAAATACTGCAGCCATCGAGGTGACTAAACGCAGAATTCTACTCAAACTATATCATTTTATTGGATGAAATGTACTCGCTAGCTAACGTTGGCTAACTTTTAACAAGCAAACTGTATGTTAACATGTTTCCTTTGTAAACAAGCCTCATGTGCACAGCGCTTGGTAATGTTAATGTTTTGTCCATTGGAGTTATACAAAGATGAAGTCACCCTATTCTATTTTTGACGTTGACTTATATAACCCTACCGTCAGCAGTTTGTCACCAATTATAAAGTGACTCACACTTTATCATTAGCTGTTCTATTTGCATCGGCGAGTGATTGTATGACAGTTGAGTTATGTGTGTGAGAGAGGATGAGCCAAGTGAATTCACTGTGTGATCGGACAGCTACGTTAATCTTTGCTCTTTGGGTTACCTTTTTATAGATCTCGCCTTCATCTTTATTTTCCAGTGTCACATGATTTCAATTGATGTCAATTTGAAAATGTATCGGCAGTCAGGTAATAGTTATTTGAAAATCTGCAGGGAAGTCTAGTTGCGGTTGCAGCTAGACTGTATCTTCGTAAATCGATGATTACAAAAGCAAATTAAAAATCATCTCTGTTTGAAGTTATAATTTGACATGAGGTCTGGTGGGAATAAAGTGGACTCAGCCCTGGAGACGGCTGGTTGGCTTGTAAGATAGGTAGCTGACCTAGACCCAGCGGTGCCGCAGGCCACCAGCCTGCTGGCCACCAGCCTGCTGTTCGACCCATTTTCGGTAACCATGTGTCTCAATAAAGCATGGTGGAATTTGCAAACTAGCTGGCTAGCTTCCTAATTCCAGCATGCTTAAATGCTACAATGGTTATAGAAAATGAGCCGAACAAAGTTGCTACTCGCCTAGTTATAGCAATGTGCTTTGCTGTGAGAAGAGTGCGAGGACGAAGCATTACATTTTTAAATTTAACTAATTTACTCTAGCTCTTTATTTTTTTGTAATGTTACTACTCCACTACTTGTTTAAGTTGTTAGGCCTACTGCATCAACCTCACATCAGTGAGTGTGCGACCTGCCATGAGTCAGTTTAGTTTATGTGGAAATCAGCCACAATGTCAATGGCAGGCTACATATAAAAATGTCCGCCACTCTGGCCATCCTGCTACGCTGACTTGAATGGGAACATCCGTTCTACTCCTATTCTATGCCCACAACACTATTCCAGTCAATCAACAAAAGCTCGTCATGCTCGTCCATAGCACAGGTGAAAGCCCATGGCTGTATAAAGAGAAAGGCTGTGGGAGTGAGAGGGGACAGTAAATCTGTTTGCATGAGTGCCTGAAACTATGCTTGTGTGACGTGTTTAATTATTTAATGGTTCTCAGTCTGTAGCCAAGAGAGCACCACATGAACTATATATTTGTGTTTGGTCAGTAAGCCTTGGACCACTGTAATGTTAACTAGAATTTGGGGATATTTTGATACATATAGTTGAGACTAGTGGTATCATAGATGACGTAGCTTTGTTCCCTCGTTATCCTTGTCATATATTGTTGAAATAAAAGACATTTTTGTCATGATAAATAAAAGACATACTTGTCATGATACGTTCAATTACAAGTATTGTATTGTTGATCCCAGCACTACTTGAGAGGATCCATATGTGATAAAAAAAGAGACTGAGGCAAGAAAGAGCTGATCAATAAACAACTGTAGTCATAAACAATTTTATGTATTGATAATCTCCAACTTAAAGTTTTTGTACATTGCTATGAACCTCACAAACCCCTTCTGAAATACAATAACAAAGGACATTTTAAACAAAAGTACTTCTTAGAAATCTTTTATTCTCACTCTGAAGCACTTCAAGTGAAAGAAACTCATCACAAACCAACTCGCATCAAGCTGAGAATCTCTGAGCAGTCAGTTTCAAATCATTTTATTCAAACTATTTTATTCAATGAACTTCTTAACCTGCCAAACCAACCCAGCACCCACTGGGGGACTCTGAACATTTATAAACTGGGAAATAAGGGCAAGTTTTAGTGGGGGTTTTTTCTATCAGCCTCTTACAATTTCTCATTTGACTCAGTTGTATTTTTTGCTATTTTTTATAATGTTAATGCTTCCTGGGAGAAATAACCTGTATCAGGCTACACCTTCTGTAACTGCGTCCCATTTCAAATATCTCTGAGATGTGAAAAGAGGCGTTTGCATGAGTTGTCTGACGCTGTGGGGAGACATAACAACTCCTGCAGCACTGAACAGATGCTCAGAGGACAGGAACTCTTAATCCACTCCCAGTGAAGCGAGATGCTGTTTCAACAGAGGACCCACTGAGAGGGGAATTTACAAAAACGAAGCTAGATTAGTAATCAAAGTAATTAGACTTTGGGTGCAAGGGGTTACATCAAACCTTTGACTGTTTGCAAACACTCTAAGCCTGCACTGGGAGTGGGCACATCTTTTTAAACTCCAGGTGAGTTTCTATCAAATGGCTTTTAGAGCTCCTCTTTCTATTGCCTAGACTGCCACCTGAGACTACTTGACCCTGGGTGTCCTCACCAAGCAGCACGAGGCTCAAAACAATGTGATGGCTACCAAGGCTCACAAACTCCCCCTCCATAACAAATCAGCAATTTCAGGTGTAATATGGCACACAAATTAAATGTGTTTTAACACACAAATATATTCTTATTCCAGCCCACCAATGTGCCTAAAATTCAATGCAATTAAACATGTAATCAGTGAATTATTTAACATCGTTATTACTCACAGCAACTGACAATTATGACAATTATTTTGTCGGGTTTTTTCGGTCGTTGTTTCAGTGCTCGAACTGAATGAAGTTGAAGATGAAAGTGATTTGAGTGTTACAATTTAATTTAAAGACATTAATGAGACAGTTGAATCAACTTCCTGTTGATAGTGTATATTATATTATATTATAAGCTGAAAACACTTCCCTTGTACACACCTCTTTTATTGCAGATCATAATCATATTTAAATATAGCTAATCAGGTTCACCAACAGACGCAGAGCTAATTGCCATCACCTGAAATCAAGTCAAGTGATTCCAATTAAATCAGTTTCAACTATACTTTCACTGAGGGTTTGCTTATTGCATATTCTACCGCGCAGACTCGAACGACAGTAATAATCTGCTATTATCATGCATTCATGTTTTTCATTATTTGTTTATGATCTTATTCCAAAAAGGTTCAGATTAGGACAAAGACTTTAAATTAAATAATTTAAAGACCTCAATCGTTATCTGATGAAATCTGAAGTCACAAGACCCTTAATAGTTTAAGGTTGTTCCTCC